TCAGGGTATATCGATAGTCTCACCCAGGAATCAGGGTGCATCAATAATAGCCACATAATATTTGAACCTCCTGCCATCCAGTTACAGGGCCAGCTCTCTAAGCGTTGGGTGGGCTGGCAGTCATCCTGCGTGTGAAGTGAGACCCTTATGTCTCCCCAGGAGATCCTGTCGGCCTGCTGGTCCTACGAGCTGAGGGAGAGGCCCAGCTTTCTGCAGCTGGCCGACATGCTGGAGCGGCTTCCCAAGCTGAGCCGCCGCCTCTCGCACCCGGGACACTTCTGGAAGTCCGCCGAGTGCGTATCCTAGGCCGAGTGCCTCTGGAATTGGAGTGGGGGGTGGGGGGATGCTGAATAATTAGCTAATTGGTGACCTTCTCAGATTCCCAGACTGTGGAAGCTGTTCTATACACAGCGGTAATGCTAGCAGGAAATGATCTATAGTGACAGGAAGCATCTCTTGTCTGGCTGGAGTGCAGCAAATTCATCCTTGCATTCACTGACCACTGCACCCTCCAAGCAGTGCCCAGACTGTGCCATCACATGCAGGAATGCTGACTCTGTCGCCCCCTTGTGTTTTGATTAAGTAAAGCAACCTACTCCAGAGCTGCAGTAGAGGCAGCACATTCAGGCCACATATCTGGACATCTGGGACTCTGTGGGAGTGAGGCCATGTGTTTGTCTGGAGCCTGTGCGCCCCCTGCAGGCTGCCTTCATCATTTGCTGCCTTTATCTTCATACCAGCGTTGTTTCTCTCCCTGCTAGTCTGCTTTTTCTAACCGTCTCTCTCTTCCCTTCTCTCTGTCTCTTTCACTTTCAATTTGTCTCTCAGGTTGTAGCTGCCAAACCAACTCTACCCGCCCCCCCCCCCCCCCCCCCCCCCCCCCGGAAACCCCCATCCCCCCCCCCCCCCCCAGGCCACCCGCTTCATCCACTCGTCCGTCTGTGCGATTCGCTGAGTGGGGCTGGTGCCAGGCTGCAGGAGGGCCCAGCTTACGCTGCTTTTGGGACTTGGCAGATGCTTTTATATGTTTTGTATGTCAGAGATCTTCTGTTTTACATGTTTACTGTGTTTACCTTCCGCCCTGCACTGCTGTGAAACAGCTTTTATAATTAAAACGTTTGTTTGTACCTCCTGTGTTTTGATTGGCATCACTTAGCACGGTCCTCTGTTTGACTAATGCCCTGGTGCATATCATAATCCCCAGAGTTGGGAGGGGGTGGTGGTGGCATGTGGGGGTGGGGGAGGGGGGGTGGCAGCCAAATCGATCGGCCAGATTTCGTCAAGTTAAGTGGGGCTTTGCTCTTTACTCTTATACCAACCATATCCACAGCACACAGGGGCCCGAAATAATGTTCCCCTGGACTGCAGTGCTGCATACAGTCATGTGAAAAAATTAGGACGCCCAATTAAATATTTGGTTCTTTATTAAGAGATATCAACATGTCAGTATTAAATGTTCTTTCAAATTATGTCTTTAGCTAAAGGTGATGCAGTTGCATCATCAATGGAAATACAAGAAACAAACAGAAACAGCCCCCCGCTCTCCCTGAGAAAGTCCACTTTAACATGGAGTCCCTTAAATAAGCTGAGGATCAGCGGTTTGAGTTGGGGAGACAGCTGGATGAGGGGCACTGCAGAGTGCTGGATGAGGGGCACTGCAGAGTGCTGGATGAGGGGCACTGCAGAGTGCTGGA